AACCTTGAGGAGAATGGGAATTCTAAAATAACTAATTGTGCTAATACAAAATCTATATCTAAACCAAGAAACTGTTGTCTGCAGTAAGGGAACACTGCGTGGCTTATAATAAGGGTGTGCACGTGAGCTGTATCCTTTTTCTATACGTAATCAATTTCCATGCCGAGCAATAAATTTGCAAAGCTGGACTCTATGAAGAAGAATGTCATATTAGGACTAGAGGAAGACTCACCAATAACCTGTGTTATACAAATGACCCAACTTTGCTTAATGAAATTGAGGATATGAAACACTTGCTGCAGAAGATCATAGGCTACAGCCTTCAGCATGGATTATATCTCAACACCAAGGAAACAAAGGACCAACAGTCAACATGATGATAGATGGAGAAAGGATTGAAGCTGTCAATGATTTCATCTTGCTTGGATCAACTATCAACACCTTTGGTACTAGCAGTAAAGAAACCAGAAGATGAACTGTATTGGGCAAGTCTACTATGAGTAACCTGTGCAAAATGCTGAAAAGCAATGAAGTCTGTTTGAAGACTGAAGTGTGCCTGATTCAGGCCATGGTCTTCTCAACTACCTGCTATGCACCAGAGAGCTGGGCAGTAAATAAAGATGACAGAAGAAGAACTGATGCCTGTCAGTGCGGTGCGTGAGCAGAGTATTGACTCTCCCATAGACTGCCAAAAATCAGACAGACATGTCTTATAAAAAGTGCAGCCAGAGTGCTCCTTGGAGGCAAAGATGTTGAAGCTTTGTCTTTCATACTTTGGACTTTTAGCTAGGTGAGGCTATTCATTAGAAAAGGACATCAGGGTTGGAAAGATGGAGGGTCAGTGAAGAAGAAGAAGACCTCCAACAAGATGGGTAGACATGGCTACTTAAGCAATGGGCTCTGCATCAATGGGCTCATTGTCAGTGACGATGAGGATGGCACAGGTCAGGGCAAGGTTCAAGTTGGCTATTTCTAGGATTGTTATGAGTCATTTGAATTGATGGCACCTAACAACAACAGCAACAGCAATAACAACATGTTATTATTATTGGAAGACATCAAGTCAACTCCAACTCAAAGTGTCATAGTGATCCCATGTTAGTAACGAGTAGAAGTACCCCACAGGGAGAGCTGCAATCTTTACAGGGACAGATCACTGGACCTTTCTCCCATGGAATCATTAGGTGGGTTCCCCCCTACACCCAGGTCTCCTTACAATGCCTGTACTAATTGCCCTTGGGTCAGCTGTGACTCCCAGTGTCCAAAGACAAGGCACAACTACCCCATGCGATTGCATATAAGTCTTTCGGTGAATTTACATTCTCATGTTTTTCCTGTAGAACGGTAGCTCTGAACCACCAATTTTCTGGTTACCAACCCCACACTTAACCTGTAGTGTGACTAGAGCTCCTTGTGATGCCGACTGGGCTAGGGAAAAACAAAGCAGCTAAACATCAATGAAAACTCAGAGATTAAGGTTATATAACTGGCCTTACACAGGGACAGTAAAATAGAATATTTGGTTTTCTTTCCTAATGTTCAATTTGCTTCTTACCACTCTGTAATCATAGTTGTTTTGGTGTTTTTTTTTTTTTTAAATGTGCTGGCTCATATTACGAAAGTCTGAAAAATGATGGCCTGTGTAAAATTAGTAGGGCATTAACATCTTATTCACTGGATGGGATAAATGATTTTCCTCCTACATAATGGATCACATGTTGGGCTGCAAAGTGGAAAGCTGGAGATTCGAGTCCACCAGTCGCTCTGTGGGAGAAAGGTGAAAACTCTGCTCTCACCACAACTCACAGCTTTTGAAGCCCATGGAGGAGGGTAATCGCAAGGTGGAACTCGATGGCAATGGGTTTGGTTAATTTCTACTTGTTTGTTTACTAGGGTTGTTTAACCCTAAGGCCAACGGTTTGAATCCAGCAGCTGCTCCACAGGAGGGGAATGGATTAGTTTTCTCCTGCGAAGATTTACAGACATGGAAACCTGGTGGAAGATCATGATGAGTTGGTAATTTTTGTTTCCTGGGCAGTGGGTTTGGCTTTACCTTGGATCTAAGAGTTGGGGGTTTAAACCCATCCAATGGGATAACAAAAGAAAAGCTGTGGAGCCCCGACCATAGAGATTACCCAAGAACAATCTATGGCCAATGAAAATGCTGCATGAAGGGAATGGATTGGGTTTTGACCTAACATTTTATGCTCCCCTACAGCTAATCTCAGAACACCTTATTGTCCTTATGCAAAACCTATACTTGGCCAAGGAGGCAATCATCAGAACAGAACAAGGAAACACTGCATGGCTCAAAATCAGGAAAGGCATACACCAGGGATGCATCCTATCTCCTTGCATTTTCAGTCTCTATGTGGAACAGATCATCCAGGAGGCTGCAGTCTATGATGAGGAATGTGGCATCAGGACTGGAGAAAAACTCATCAAGCACCTGCATTATGCAGATGACATGATCTTGCTCTTGCTGAAATTGTGGAAGACCTTCGACATTTGCTGCTGAAGGTCAAGGACTGCAACTTTCAATATGGATCGAAGTTCAACATCAAGAAAACAAAGATTCTCATGAGTGGCCCACTTAGCAGCATCATGATAGACAGAGAAGTGATTGAAAATTGTTAACAACTTCAGCTTGCTTGACTCTACAATCTAGGACCCAGGAAATCAAAAGATGAATTAAATTGGGAAAATCTTCTGTCCGGGAGGGACTTCTCTAGAGTACTGAAGAGAAATGACGTCAATCTACAGACTAAGGTACACCTGATTCAGGCCACATGGTCTTTGTAATTTTTTGTTATACATCAGAGCACTCAACAATGACTAAGGATGACAGAAGACGATTCGATGCCTTTGAGTTGTGGTGTTGGAGAAGAGTATTGAACAAACCATGGACAGCCAAGAGGACAAACAAGTCAGTCCTGGAGAGGGTGAAAGCAGGTTGCTCCTTGGGGGCAAAGATTTTGAAGCTCTGTCTGACATACTTTGGGCATGCTGCAAGGAGGAACCAGTCCCTAGAGACAGACATCATGCTTAGAAGGATGGAGGGACAGCGCAAGAGAAGAGATTCTGGACGAGATGGTATTGTGGGTAGGTGTGGCAGAAATGATGAGACTGGTTCAGGACAGAGCAGGGTTCAGAGCTGTTGTAGACAGGGTCACTAAGAGCTGGTGGTGACTCAATGGCATGTAACAACAACAATAACAGCTAATCCTATATTAAATGTCTTCCTTTGGATAAAGGAAACAATAGGCAAATTTATAGAAAACAATTAAGAACTCTTACTATGTAAATAAAGAACTCTGGTGGCATAGCAACCTATATGTTGCATTACTGAACAAATGGTCTATGGTTCGAATCCACCGGCAGCTCCTTGGGAGAAAGATGGCAGCCTCCTCCCTCCTCTTGTCATCAAGATTCACAGTCTGGGAAACTGACAGAGCGACCATGTAACTCTCAAAAGATAAGAAGGGAAGATAGATACTATCCCTCCAATTAACCTTTGTGGAAGATTTATTATCGATGAATTTAAAAAAAAATTCTGCTCTGCCAGTGAGTTTAAAGCTAAGACACAAGCAAAATCAAACACGGATCATGATCCTTTTTAAGCAGCCTCTTCTTACCCAGTGATTTTCAGAACTGAGCATTTAAATGAGCATTTGGAAGTCAGGAAAGCCTTGAGTTAAAACAACCTGGAGCAGAGCCCTCAGACCAAGATAACACCACAGATACAAGTGTTTTCAAATGACTCTCAGGGACAGACATGAACACAAATGTCGTTTCTCTCATGCATAAAAGAAGCACTACTAACTATCTTACCTAATCCTAATGGGAAACCTGGCTCTCTGGACAACACAGGATTTATATACATTCATTCACAGATAAATGCTTAATGGTAGGAGGCTAAATAACCGGTCAAACGATCAAGGAATCCATGTTCTAATAATCCTCCCGGGAGTCCTACTAAGAATTAGCACATGCCTTTGAAAAGGTGATCACAAACTTCTCACAAGTGTTGAGCAGAAATTCTTTCCCCCCATTCTATTATCGAAATGGGGTGGTTCTAGTCCGTCACATGGAGTTTCTTCTAGGAAACGGAACCGTAGGGCACCTCACAATCACAACTTGAGAAAAACGAAGAAACTGGGAGACTATTTTTCAAATAAATGAACAAACTGAGCAAAGTGGAAGGCAATATACAATAAGGGGGAGAGGAGACAGCATAGCTTATTAATTATATCAGTCAATAATAATTAATGCCAGGGAACAAAATGTCTATGAAGGATTACATGAAAATCTACTATGATTTGCAAGCCTTCACGGAATTTAAAAAACAGAGACTAAAGTGGGCCTTTGGTTCCCCCCTAAAATGAAATAAAATAAAAAACACTGGTGAATATGAGCAAATATATCTACAATGAAAGAGAGCAACAAATTCAGTAAAAAAAAAAAAAATGAAAACAGCACCCCCCCTGCTCCCATATAGATTTTAGTCACTGCCTAGTTTTAGAACCAATTATGAGAAAAGCAAATATGCTTGTCATCTGGAAAGACTTCCCTTCTTTTCACCATCCTTCAAGTGAATGTAATCGATTTACTGAGTTTATACTAAGTCCTATTGGTAGTGAAGGGTGAGGCTCGGGCAGTGGAAGGAGGGGATTATGGGAGATGTCTGGCCTTCCCTGAGCTTCAGTGACATCCAGGAACTGAAAGAGGTTAGGAAGCCAATCCAGGTACCTTTAGTTCACCCACAGACATCTGTCTATTAACACATGGTGGGTAGTTACATTTCAAGGAAGTACCCTGACACATCTGTTTATCCCATGTCTAAGTAAATCTCTAGGTAATTAACATCTAAACCAGCTGAGAGGTAACTGGACCAATCATTTTCATGGCAAAGAAACCAGCTTCATACACATGGTGTAGTTTGAAAAAGGATCAAAATGAGTTGCATTGCATTAATTTTTTTAAGTAGAAATGCATCTTACGATTTGTAATTGTTGCACCATTTCTTCTCGATAGGCTAGTTCCCGCTTCATCTGATCCTGAAAATTATCTGGTGGGAGAGAGAAGCAGAAAAGGAATTTAATGAAGTTGGAAAATCTTCTGTCAGTGTATTTAGTAAAAATATTGTGCTAAAAGTCTCAAAGACATCCTCTCTTTAATTTTCATAAGTAAAATGGTTTATTTAAGAAATGTTTTCAGGCCTCTTATATAACTATAATAGACAGTGAATATTGGAAAGAATATGCTGTCACTTCTATTTCCTAGTGGCTCTTACCCTGTCTGGTGTAATCTCCTGCATATGATAACTGCTCAGGAACATCTGGTGCAATCATGGTCCCTAACCTTTGGGATTGTTGGACTGTGCAGTTTGCGGGCACTGCAAGTCTCTAATGTCTTCAAGTATACTGTGGACTGTCGAAAAAGAAAAAACAATAGTCTTGGAGGAAGTGTGACCAAAGCGTGCCTTAGAGGTAAGGACGGTAACACTCTCTCTCGCATCCTTTGGGTATGCTTTCAGGAGGGTTTCTAACTTTGGGAAAAGGCCATCATGCTGGAAAAAGATAGAGCATCACAGAAATAAGAAGGCCCTCAACCAAGTGGATGGCCACAATGACTGCAGCAGTGGACTTGAGGACGGCAGAGACGGTGGGGACGGCGCAGGGCAGGCCAAGGTCACAGCTGCTGTTCAAAGGGCTGCTACAAGTAGCAGTGAACTCAATGACACCTACCAACAACAGCACAATGTCTTCACAACTCTAGTTAAAGAAAAGGATATGAGAGACTTCAAATAGAGCCGAACAAAAAAAAATGCTGACCCTTGTGATTTTCATCCCTTTCACTAGGCCACCAGAGCTCCCTGAATAAGATATGGGCTCTTAAAACACACCTGTCTGTTTTCACTGCAATTCACCTCATTCTTATGAGGGTGATAAACTCTAGTCTGACCCTTCCAACCAGCAAACCTGCTCACCTTGGATCTTTTCTATTTTACACTGTTCTTTTTTCAATGTCCTTCTGTAGACTTCATCTACAGATCCTAATCTAGGGAGGATCTTTTTCTTTTTTTTTTTATCTAGGAAGGATCTTCTAAAAAAATAGTGTTTTAAAAACATCTTTGCTTTAAAACATTTTCATAATTTCTAGTGCATTTCAGAAAAGCACTTCCAAATGTATTTCAACTCATTGCTGACTCTCTTAACAGGTTCTCAGAGGCAGTAAATCCCATGGAAGAGATTGCTCAACTTTCTCCCTCAGAGCAACTGGTGGATTTGAACTGTGTACCTTGGAGTTGGCAGCACAACTCCATACCACCAAGCCACCAAGTTCCCTTATTTCATGGCATCCCCTTTTCTCCATGTTTTCCAATGGTAGACTTAGACAGCTGAGGCTTTTGTGTGTGTGTTAAGAGAGGGATTAATGTGATTTCATAATAAATGTGTGGTTGATGGACAGGACCAGTCACAGTGCGGACAAACTGGAGACTCTGTCACCATCTCCTCCTCCCTTCCTCTTTTCACCTCCACAGCACTGGTGTGAGTCCCTGCGCCCACTGCCCTTCTCTCTTCTCTTTGACATCGCTCCTTCTCAAATGTGGACAGCTCTTTCTCCGCCAGTAGTTTCCCAACTGGCCACCAGGCTTTCAGTCCTTCACTTTAAGTCAGTTTAAGGATCTGAGATGCTTCCTACTGCTTTCACGACAATAAATCCAGTATCACCTGTGGTCACTGGTTATTTGTTAGAAGACGTTGTTATTTTTATTTACGAACGTCTATGGTGTCACTGGTTGGTGCAAACGGTTAACATGCTTAGCTGATAAAAAGACAGGTTAGAGGTTCATGGTTCACGCAGAGGCATTTTGGAAAAGAAGGCCTGGTGATCTAATTCCAGAAAATTGAGCCACAGAATTCCACTCTGACATGCACGGGACACCATGAGTCAGAACAAGCTGGACAGTGTGCTGTGCATCTGAGAGCTGGACAGAGTGAGGATAACAGAAAAGAACCGACGCCTTTGAACCGTGGTGTTGGAGAAGAGGACTGGTAACCCATGGACTGCTGAAAGAATAAGCTGATAAGTCTTAGGAAAAGTGCAGCTAGACTGTTCTGTAGTGGAAAGGATGGCAAAGCTTTGTCTCCCATACTTTGTGAGTATGTTGCTAGAAAAGGCTACTCCTTGGAATGGGGAGTCATGTTTCCAAAAGCGGAAGGTCAGCGAAAGAGAGGAAAACCCCCAATGAGAGATTGACACAGTGACTGTAGCAATGGGTTCAAGTATGCTGGAGCTGATGAGGATGGCACAGGGTAGGACAGGGCTCAGATCCATTGTTTATAGAGCGGCTGTGAGTCGTACTTGCTTTGACAGCACCTAACAACAACATACTGCTGAATAAAGAAAGGTCAGAGAAGAGCTGATGCCGTTGTTTTGGTGAAAATCTGATTCAACCACAGACTGCCAAAAGAACAAACAAACCTGGAATGAAGTGCAGCCGAAATGTTTCTCAGAAGTGAGGATGGTAGGAGCTTCAACTTGTATGCTTTGGGGCATGACATCAGGAAGGGCCAGTCACCATGCTTGGTAGAGGATCATTAGAAAAGAGAAAGACCCTCACCAAGATGACTGACACAGCGGCCCCCACAGCAAGGTGGGTTTAAGGACAGCAGTGGCTGTGAGGATGGTGCAGGCCGGGGCAGAGCTCAGCTCTGTTATATACAGGGTCACTAGCTCTGGTGGCCTAGGGGCAGGAAGCTGTACTGCAATCCCAAAGGCACAGGGTTGGAATCCACCAGGATGTTTGGTGGGAGAAGGATGGGTAATCTCCTCCTGTGCAATTAACTGTCTCTGAAAACTTGCTAGAGGGTCAGCTACGGGCCGGTCCCGACATAATGGTACACAACAACATTACAAATCAGCACCAATAACAATGTTTAGATTCTTTCTCCAGTTTTCAAGCATGTTTGGTAATCTATCACCAAAACAAAACCCCTAGTCCCTGCCTTCACTTGCAAATTTGATGTGAAAGGTACAGTAATAGTGATAAGGGTGTGGGTCAATGCAAAGGCCAAGGGAAAGGCTGTATGTGCTTGGGGATATAAGGGGGAAGCAATGCTTGAGCAGAGACTAGGAGAAGCACAGAGGAAGGTGTGTGGAACAGCCAGAGGCTCAGGTGGCAGCAGGAGTGTTTGAAGGAGAATGGCCTCTTCTCCTCCAGCTCCCTCACACTGCTACCCAAGTCCCTTAAGCACACACAGGACTTGCCTCTGTGCCTCTGACCTGCTGTGTTCTCTGGTGGCCTAGCAGTAAGAAGTTGTGCTGTAATCCCAAAGGCAAGCAGTTTGAATTCACCAGCTCCTTTGTGGGACAGGCAACCTCCTTGCACACAATTTACTGACTCTGAAAACTTGCTGAAGGGTCAACTATAGGTTGGTTTCAACTCGATGGCACAACATTCTCTGCCTAGATTGTCTTACCTTTACCATAAATACCTCATTTTAAAAGGTCAGTTCAAATATTACACCTTCAGGAAAATCCTCTCCAGTTCTTCTGCCCCCTCCTGATAGTATTAATTATTCCTTTTTTACGCTCCTCCAGAACCCTGCACATACCTCTAGTAATGCATCCATAATGTCTTAGGGGTGTTATCTTCCAGGAAAGAAAACTCACTATTATCAGGGGTTGCCAGAAGGGCAACCAAATTTATCCTGGAAAATGTATAGCTGGAATTCTTATTGGGGGTGAGAATCTCATACCTTTTGGGTATGTGGTCAGGAGGGACCAACCCTGGAGAAGTATACCATGTTCAGTAGACAGCAGAAGAGAGGACTTTCAATAAGGTAGACTGACTCACTAGCTATAACAGCCTCTTTAATAAATGATACTGGTAAAAAGTGGACATCTACGTGAAGGAAACTGACACAGGATCCACATCTCACATCACACACAAAACCCAACTCAAAGTGGATTAGAAACCTAGGGGTAAAACCAAAAACCTATAAAGATTATCAAAGAAAAAAACAACAGGAAAACATTTAGAAACCCTAGCTTATGGTATAAATAGGTTTATAAACACAGGCAAAAATGCAAAAACCAGGAGAGGATAAAAATCAATGAACGGGACCTTTAAAAAATCAAACCCGTATGTACATCAAAACCTTTTTCCAGTGGAGTGAAAAGAGACCTCACAGACTAGGAATACATATTTGGCAATGACTTTTCAGACATGGGTCTCACAACTGATAAATACTACAGAGTCTCCAAAAGACAAAACGGACAAAAGACATGAAAAGACTCTTCATAAAGAACATTCAGGTGGCCAAGAAACACATGAGTAAATGTTTGCAATCACTAGCAATCTGAAAGGTGCATATCAAAACAACAAAGAAATACCATCGTGTTCCAGCAGCAGCAGCAGCAAACTTCAACAAGACAGCAAAGAATAAGTGTTGGAGAGGAAGCAACATTAGGCTTAAATGCAGAAACAAGTGCGAGATGGCCTGGTTTCATATGTGGTCTGTTGTATATGTGGTCACTTAGTGTCGTGCTCACCTCGAAGGCAATCAGCAACAACAACAACAACTGGAGCTGAAAGCTGACTCAACAGCATCCACACAACCTAGCAAAACAGTGAGTTCTTAGAGGGCAGAGAGCTGTATTTCAGATGATTCTAAAACGACTACGAGCTCTGGTGGCCTAGGGGTAGGAAGCTGCACTGCAATCCTGAAGGCACTTGGTTCGAGGTCACCAGCTGCTTCGTGGGAGGATAAGCAATCTCCTCCCGTGTGATTAACTGCCTCTGAAAACCCACTGGAGGGTCAGCTATGGGTTGGTTCTGACTCGATGGTATACAACAACAACAACAGTAACAACAAAGTACTGAACATCCCGTGAAATGCCGAAAGAACAAGCAGATATGTCTTGGAGAGGATGCAGCCAGAGTGCTCTTTGCACGCAAGACTGATGAGGCTTACCACATTCAGGTATTTACAGAGCTTTAGCTCTAGGGGCCTAGTGGTAAGAAACTGTGCCACAATCCCAAAGGCACATGGTTCAAAT